TAGAATGAACGGTATGTATGAATGATTATTCAGAAATCGTGAGATGCGGTCTGGTGTGATGTAGGTTTCGGAAAAACATTTTCTTTATCGTGCCAACGTTTCGATCTTGAGATGATCTTCAGGGCCTGGGATTTACAAACATTGTTTAAATTTTTAAATACACGTAGGATGTGGAAAAAAGTGAATTTATGCAATGCAAAAAAAAATGTTTTTTTTTATATTCAATCAAAGTATTTCTTCTCTCTCAAAGTGTTTGTTTTCTGCGTAAAAAAATTTTTTTTTTTGCATTGTATAAATTCACTTTTTCCACATCCTACATGTTTTTGTTAAATTTAAACAATGTTTGTAAATCCCAGGCCCTTAAGATGATCTCAATAAAGATCGAAACGTTGGCACGATAAAGAAAATGATTTTCTGAAACCTACATCACACCAGACCGCATCTCACGATTTCTGAATAATCATCGACTAACGGTCACAAATCACCACATATTTCTACATGGTATGTATTTGACCCAGCTGTCGACCATTACGGAATCTAACTTCTGTGGGAATGACCAACGTTGCAGAACAGAAAAACAATCGAAGACTCAATAGTTTATAGTCTTAAAAGCTTAGTTATTAAAGACGGTAGTTTAATTTGTAGGTGTGGTGAAGATCAGACGAGACATGATCTGGGGATGAGCCGAAGAAGGTTGGTGAAAAAACCGTACCTGCTGATGCCAGCTACCCCGGTTGGTTACACAAGATATTTCCATGTAACCGCGGCTCGGCTTTTTGTACCGCGTTACGTCCCAACGGCGAACGCCTTTTGTTGCGTTTTTGTGATACCTTCGGATAGAAGGTTGGCTGGTACTTACATAACCCCACACTTTTATAACTTTACTGAAACCGACACGAAGGATGGGAACTGAGTGTAGGCGATTTCCTACGGGGGTTTGCCAGGTGAAGAAATTGTAACAGCGGGGATAGACCAACCAAAATGATCGGAAACACCAAACTACATCGTTGTTGGTTCAATGAATAAAATTAATACGGATTCTTCAGATACCTAGCCCTAACGGTCTTCATATCACTAAATAAACGGTTCGTTTTTGTACAAAATTATGCTCAAGAGTTCCTGTAGTTACATCTAGAAAGATCAGAGGTTTTTGTTACTTAAGAATTGACACAGTGCAAATCGTATATATTTTCTTCTTGCATTTTGGTATTAACAAATTGGTGATATTGGTATGAAATTACTTCTCTAGGATTTTTGGTTCTTGTTATTTAATAATCATCTAGTTCAACAATTCTATCTTCCAGGTTTTCAGTACTTACGTTGGTTTTATTCCTGGTGTTTGTTATTTAACTGATAAACAATCAAACAATGCAAATATATTCTTATTAAAATAATCTGAATAAAACCTGTAAAGATCCTATTAATTACACATTCAAATTTGTTTTTATTTTCGATTTAGCTTACTAGGACGTAGATTAGTATTTTTTTCTTCTAATGCTACTTAACGCAGTTGCTACCTTCTTTAAATGTTAAGCTATAGGTCCATTTAACACAGTTGCAATGAATCTGGGCTAACTTGACTGGATTTATTCATAGCATTTAGTTTGCATTTCAATTTTCCATTGTCTAGATAAATTATCTATGATTATCGACTTTGGTGGCCTTAATCCATTTGCTTGAGGTTTTTTATTGTAATTTAATGATTATTCAGAAATCGTGAGATGCGGTCTGGTGAGATATAGGTTTCAGAAAAACATTTTCTTTATCATGCCAACGTTTCGATCTTTATTGAGATCATCTTCAGGGCCTGGGATTTACAAACATTGTTTAAATTTAACAGAAACATGTAGGATGTGGAAAAAAGTGAAACCCTGAAGATGATCTCAATAAAGATCGAAACGTTGGCACGATAAAGAAAACGTTTTTCTGAAACCTACATCTCACCAGACCGCATCTCACGATTTCTGAATAATCATCGACAAACGGTCACTAATCGCCACACATTGAAATTTAAAATGATTTTATAAATTTCATCACTTCTCCAGGTTCGAATCTCCAAAGAACACCGGACACCCTGAAGTCGATATGACATCTGCTGAGGCTATCGGCTATCTCCGTAAAAAAAGAGTCTCAACTCTGTCTTTTTTCCCAAACCATTGTTTATATTTGAAAGCAAAAACACGGAGACTTTTTTCTACGGGGGTTAGCCTATAGCCGCAGCAGATGTCATATCAACCTTAGGGTTTCGGGTGTTTTTCCATTGCAAAAGAGCCCATTTTGAACAAGTTTTTATTCAGGGCCGCTGAGATTCGAACCAGGGACACTTAGAGACGTCATTCATAACATCTCTACTAAGGATACTAAGGAAAAACATATACTCTCCTCACATTTCCTTTAACATTTAACTAACTACAAATGTAGATCAATTATGAATATATAAGTAATTTAAAACCAAACAGAGTTCAATCAATTTGGACAATTTCTTTTTTTCAAAATCGAAATTTTCGTTGCTTTTTATGTAAAGGGAGTCTAACAAATCAATCAAGAATTACGTGTGTTTTCCATAACAGCTGAACAATCATTCCATTAGTTTTGTAATAGGCGATGATTATTCGACCTTGGTAACTTTTGTACGCCGAGATATGTGAATTGAAATGGAATTAAATTTCGTTCTGTCAGGAAAAAACCATTGCACCTACTAATCTTTGTTAACATCATTTTTCCAAAATATACGACTAAAAACATTCCTATTTCGCTGTAACTTTTTTTTTAATTGTGTTATGACACGGTAAACTTATCATTTAAATTCTGATTGTGAAATACAAATGACTTTGCAATGTCATCATCGAAAATGACAACTCGAAGTTGTCAGTGTTTATTTATTTTAATATTTTTAGAAAAACATGATCTAAACTGATTCATAAAATATACATCAAGTCTAGCACAAAGTTTATCTTTTTAAAAACATTAGGCATCAAAAAATGGTTTCAAACATAATTTTTTTTAAATAAACACTTCATGATGCTACAAATCCAGGGAATACGGATAATATACGGAGATTGAATTTTGAAAATTTATAAAATCCTGGAGTCTAGTAAGACTGAGGTGGAGTCCGTACATTTATCATTTATGTTGAATCATCCTAGATCTTAAGGGACGATAAGTTGCTAGTAAATATAGAAACTTGATTTAAGCATTTCTTTTTTAATGGTCTTGCGTGATTGTATTTTATTTTTGTCCTTACATAGTAAAACTACTAGTTAACTAGTTAAATTTAACAGAAACAAGTAGGATGTGGAAAAAAGTGAAGCCCTGAAGATGATCTCAATAAAGATCGAAATGTTGGCATGATAAAGAAAATGTTTTTCTGAAACCTACATCACACCAGACCGCATCTCACGATTTCTGAATAATCATCGACTAACGGTCACTAATCACCACACACAGTAGTAGTAAATTAGTTCTATCATAGTTAAAAAGTTACTTAAAAATAGCGGTTTGCCAGTGTTTAAGTTGTCCTGTCAATCATATACCATTCGTGTAAATCTATTATTACTTTGTTATAATTTTAATTCCCTTATCTTTCATTTTCCGGCTAATTTTGTAATTCAGACAACACAACCGACTGACTTTTTTTAAGCAATTTGAAGTCACTAACGATAAGATCAAGTTTCTACAGTTGATCACGAAATATCTCCAGATGGGAATAGAACGATAAAGTCTAAAAGGTAATAATTGGAAAAATTATTATCGAAATAAAACAGCATTGATCAGGATCATTGCAATATGATGAAATACATTGTTGTGAAAACAAAATCACACTCCTGTGAAACCAGTTGGGCAGGTGTATCAACAACCATCGTTCTGGAATGCATAAGGAAGGATGACCTTCGTCGAATGTTAGACCGCACGAAAAAGAAAAACTTCTAGAAAAAGATTGTTTTTTAATAAATAAATTTATAAATAAATAATAAATTCTTATGCCTGTACGTGCAAATCGAGTTTTCCGAGTCACAAGAACGTGTTGTTGAAAACTGAATTTTCCTAAGTTCATTTTTTTCAGGTGCAGAGGTCATATAAACCCTCAGGGTGCCGGTGTTAAAAAAAAAAAAGCCTATTTGTATGTATGTCGGGTTCGAATCCAGCGGCCCTGTATTCGAACCCGGGACCTTTACCTTACGTGATGACCGCCGTGTCAACGACTAAACCGTTGCGTCCACCGACGCCCCTAATTTTAAATTTAATTAATTTTTATTTTGTAAGGTTATTTTTTAATAATGAGCACATGGCCTTTTTTATTTAAAACTTGATTTTTCTCTTTTTTACAGTAGTGTCGCGTTTCAAGCAGTATGCTCATCTTCTGGAACTTTTGTTAGTAATATTTTCCGCATAGATTTTGAACGTTTATGTCGCAACGTCGACACTACTGTAAAAACGGGATAAATTTTTATATAAAAAGTACCACGTGCTCATTATTGAAAAACTGGCCTTACAAAATAAAATTTATACAATTTCATGTGGAAAAGAAGAAAACAACTAAATCTATGAACAACATTATTTAATTAATAATATGAATTGTCTGGCTCCCCACACAATAAAAAAAATTTAAATCATCAAAATTTATTGACGCGCTTAATATATATTTTTAATTTTATTCAGGCAGACACAAGTCCAATTTGATTTAAACGTTTAAGTCGAGAATTTGGTTTTGACCTGGGTAAAATTGTTGTTAATCTAGTCGTTTTTGGGGTATATATTTTGTTAAGGTCAAATAAGACTTTCTGCGGAGAAAGAGTTGCTTATGCAAAGTTATATTACATAACCGATGCTTAACTTGGAAAGGTCGATGAGAAAATTAACATAATATCATTGTAAATAAAGTGTGTTGAGGCAATTTACTTAATTTTATTTATAGCAAATGTCAAAAGTCTGAAAATGAGTTTATTTCAAGGATGATTGGCGTGCTCTTTTTGATTCGACGTGCATCGAGAATGACTCACATCGGATGGGCTTGGCTCCAGCTGAACATCTTTCTTATCCTTTCGGCCCGCGCTGCCGGAGGCTCCATGGCTGGATGAAAATCACTTGACGGGCACACAACACAGACTGGCTGGCCGTCTCTTTGTCTCTTCTGGTGGGGATGAGGAAGAAGTGAAAGTCGACCTTTCCCGTAGCTCACTCTCCCTTCTCAGATTAAACGCACAGGTCGAAACCGTGCGAGCCCCCAAGGACGCCAGCAAAGAATCACCAACGAACTCGAGGACCGACCAACGATCCCGAATAATTTTTTCTTTACTGAAAAAATTTCTTTTCCTTTGTACCTATACTACAGGGTGTCAGGCTAATCGCGTCACAAACTTTGCCAGTGAATTTCACACCTCCAGACAAAATGTGTGGTGTTTAGTGACCGTTAGCCAATGATTATTTGAAGATCATGAGATGCGGTCTTTTGTGACGTAGGTTTTAGAAAAACGTTTTCTTTATCGTGCCAACGTTTCGATCTTTATTGAGATCATCTTCAGCGCCTGGGATTTATAAATATTGTTTAAACTTTACAAATTCATGTAGGATGTGAAAAAATGAATTTACAATATTAAAACAATTTAGATTTTAAAAAAAATAATATGAATTTATACAATGCTAAAAAATTTTAGATTAAAAAAAATGAATTTATACGATGCTAAAATAGCAATTTCTAGCATTTTTAACATCATACATGTATGTGTAAAATTGAAACAATGTTTATAAATCCCAGGCTCTGAAGATGATCTCAATAAAGATCGAAACGTTGGCACGATAAAGAAAATGTTTTTCTACAACCTACGTCACACCAGTCCGTTCCCACGATCTCCGAATAATGTGAAAAAAATTCGTACAAACCATGGCCCGATACTCAACCCTTTCGTTGATATTCAACATTTTATTTTTTCAAGTATCTACGTTTTTCGTCACAAAATCTATTTTTAGCTCTTGAACCATTCATGTTTGTCAAAATCCGAAATAATCATTGAAAAGAGCGTTAAATTTCCGGTAAGAAGGCACCCTTATACAACTTTTAATGTTTTGGTAACAAAACAAACACTAAAACTTTCAAAAATTGCCAAATTTAAATTTAGTATAAAACAGAATTTGTAACCTCATTAAAATAATACACGGTAGAGCTTGACAAATTTCATACAAACTTCATCGTTTAATAAGCGTTCTAGAGTTATACCCTTTTCTTTAATTACACCAAACCAAAATGATTCATGTCAGAAGAACGTAAAGAAAAAACAAACAAAACACATAAAGAATAGACAATAAGCATAGCGAACAACTAAAATAGACAAATTAGACAAACTATCTACACTACCAAAATATCTAACAAAAAAAATAATCCCATTCTTAAAAAAGAGCGGTTTGAAACTGTTCAACACTTGATGGAAGCGGCGGTCGAGGTCTAACCTGCCTCTTTATCAAGTTCCATAAGTCTTCTAAAGGATTCATGTCAGGAGAATGTAAAGAAAAAATAAACAAAACACATAGAAATAGACAATAAGCACAGCGAACAACCAAAGTAGAAAAATTAGACAAAATATCTACACTACCAAAATATCTACCAAAAAAATAATCCCATTCTTCAACAAGAGCGTTTTGAAACTGTTCAACGCTTGTTGGAACCGGCGGACGATGTCAAACCTGTCTCTTTATCATGCCCCATAAGTCTTCTATGGGATTCATGTCAGGAGAACGTGCTGGCTGCGATCGGGCATTATCTAGCATTAATAGGAAGTTGTTCCCAATAGATAGAGCGACTGGAAAAACTTCCAGAAGAATTTCCCCAATGTACCTTAGTACTGTCAAAGAGCAATTCTGTAAGATAATTCGGTACAGGCATAGATGTTGATTCCACCCCATGCCTGACTGTCTTCGATAAGGATGTGACTCAAGCATAACACGTAAAACAACGTGTTCTCCACGTTTTCTACACACAGAGTCCCGGTCATTTGATTGCCTCAAACTAAACCTGCAGTCATCTGTGAAGAGGGCAGTCCCCATTGTTCAAGTGTACAAGCGAGGTGCTGATTTGCGAATAGCCAGAAGGTTATATTTACTCCGATGAATTGGATTTTTATTCATTTTAATTTAATTTTAGTCCTGTACAAAAAGGGAACCATTGACTAAATCTTCTTATGATTGCAAATACGGTTCCCATAGATAAAACATAATGAAAATGTGTGACTACATAGTATGTGTCGTGTAAGGCATCGATAGTTGAATTGGCTAAGATTACTCCAGTTATACCACCAATGGTAAATAGGAAAACAAATTCCATGGCTGACATAATTGAAGGGGATAACCATGCCATTTTCTACCATGCCTTTCCACTCTCCAGATGGAGAACAGTTAGAGACTAGACTATTCTCACGAAGCCTTTTGATGACTGTTTTAGAGGCCACCCTTACATTACGGACCGTTTGGAGATGGCTTACGTCAAGGAGCCGTTAAATTCGATGCCGTAGTGCTGTAAAATCAATAAAAAGATCAGATGATCTTTCTAGCCATAGTACATCACTGTCAACCACTACTTCCGGGTTTACCCATATCAGTTTTTCTTATTCCTTGATACAGAGGAAGTATGCATGTGTCAATCGTTTTTATCGCTGGTGTTCCATCTGCTGTGCCATACCTTACCTTCCAATTTTTAGTTTTTTTTTTGGGAGATTGGGGGATTATCAGTCAAAGTAGAATAATTAGACAAAATATCGACCTACCAAAATATCTAACCAAAAAATAATCCCACTCTTCAACAAGAGAACCATTTTTGTTGTACGTTAAGAATTGCTTCTCTTTAATTTGCCTTGTACCTACTTTGAAGGACTGGTTGGACATAGGCAATAACGTGGAGCTATCCTCTGGCTTTGTTCCAGTACAGTTATTTACTTTTCAGGCTTGGTTGCCCTCCGTAAATCCTATCCATAAATATACAAATTTATACTGTTCAAACTATATCCGTTATTTGGGCGGATAGTTCTATGGATCTTTAAATATATATTAAATTGTTCGAGCCGTCAAGAGTAATTACAAGAATAAATCGAATATCTGAATATTTTACGCTGTACTTCATGGATTTTTCTTCTATTAGCAAAAGGTGCGGTCCGTAAGTTTACCTTCCAGCATAAGCGTATGACATTATTCTGGTAATATCCTCAGGTTTGATTCCTCGCACCATATCATTATTGTTTTTACGACTACTTTGAACCTTTTCCGACGAGTGTCTAACTAAACTCTCTAAAAAACACGAGCGTGTCCGCTTGATTGTTATGCCGACAAGGCTGAGTTCAGCCCGTTATGAAAGCATGACATCCATTTCGATGCAGGAACATTTTAATTGACAAGCCGTGAAACCCCTGTCTGATTGGGCTTTCGGTTGAACCGGGGATAATTGTGTTTGCATTCATTTAGAAAATAAAGCATAAATTAGCATATTATACGAGTTTTCATGAAGTACTAAATAAACTAGAAAATTAATTACTTTTCGTGAATTATGAAGAACAGTGAGAATAACCGGGCTCACCCATATCCACTTTGTTGATCCTAATTTTGAGAAAAATCACCAACCTAATCAATCGAAATTGATATTTATAGATATATTATTATTGTATATCTTCATTTTTACAACTAACCCTATTTACTTCTAATAACTGCATATGCGTCATTATAATATCTCACTGGCACTCTCAATACACACAGTAACGACACATTTACACAGAAAACAAACACTTTGAGAGAGTGCAAATACTTTGATTGAGTCTAAAATTTCTACCATTGTATAACTTCATTTTTTTCACATCCTCCATGTATTTGTAAAATTTAAAGAATGTTTATAAATCCCAGGCCCTGAAGATGATCTCAATAAAGATCGAAACGTTGGCATGATAAAGAAAATGTTTTTCTAAAACCTACGTCACACCAGACCGCATCTCACGATCTCCAAATAATCATTAATTACCGGTCACTAAAGACCACACAGTTAATTGATCATTCTGACCACTTTTTCGTAATTAGGTGCTTTAGGGGTTCTAGAATATATACTAAAACCAGAATTGATCCCACGATCAAATTTGTTTAGTTTAATACCGTATTCGTAAAGTATACTAATAGACAATAATTAATTTATGTCCCATCTTTATTACATGCTACCTCGTACCGATCAAGACGCGCGTTTCGGAATTGTTTACTGTTTTTTATACAATTATAATTGAAAGATGTAGAAAGAGCAAAGTTGAAAGGCAAAGTGCGTTCAAAAAAGTTTGTTCTCCTTAAATAAAATATGAATAATAAGAAATAGCATAAAACATACAAACTGACGAATGAGTCATAAAGCATACACAGAAAACCTAGTCCACCCTTTTTAGATCGATTCTGGACTAGTGCCATTTTTTCTGTTTTCTTTTTAAAACTATTTTTAAAATTACTTTCCATTTAAGTGAAATGTGAAAGTCGATTATTAATGCTTTTAGATTTAGATTTTTTTAAACCAATGCGAAACTGAATGTTTTCCGTAAGAACTTGTCTTTGATTTAACGATTTATAAATGATGAATGATCTAACGAGAAAACCGTCGGTGTACGTCGGTGAACTAGGGCCCAATTATACAATAGACAGGAATACAATAGGAGAAAAATTTTGCTCTACGTACAAGTATTGTTTATATACCATCAAAAGAATAAAAACCTAATAAACAAACTGTTTTCAGTTGTGCAAGCAATATTGTTGTCTTTAGCATTCCGGTCTTTTTCTTTTTTTTTTTTTAATGGTATTATGTAGAGAAGATTTAATTGATGTTGGTTTTGTCATCGATATGCAATAGCTTTTAATTGTTTGCAATTTTTTTTTCTTTGGAAACTCTCTCGAGTTGGCCCAAATATACCTAGCCGAGATGTCTACAAAAAAACATGTAATATGATAGTTTAAATCGTGATAGAGCGTTATTGATATTAACCACTTTGTACCATTTTTTGGTTAATTCTTCAAAATCCTCTGGGAGTAGAGAAGTGTAGTCGTTTTAGTACAATTCCGTATTTTTTCTTTTGTAGTTGAT